ATTGAGAGGTCAGATCACTACAATATTTGCAGTTCCCCTTTGAGCAAAGTTAGTTCATTTGACGACAGAGGTCATCTTCGACGGAACCGGTATTACAGTTTATGGAAGGGGTGTCCACCAATAACAAACCGATTAAGAACATTCTCAGCGATTCACAGAGAACACTAATTTGAGCCTAATAGTTGTTTTCAATGATCTAACTACGGGCCGGTAAAAAGCATATAAGGTTGTGATACCCTGTGTGATTTGTACCGGCCCGTAGATGAGTCACTGAAAACAACTGTCTGCCTCAGACTGGTGTTCTGTACAAACAGATAACTTTTGTCCAAACGCGAGCCCTAAGTTGTGGGCCGCGTAGTTAACCTGAAGGCGCACATCCGGCTACTGGTTGGATTCCAGCCGATAACAACAGCTTCAGCCTAGTTATTACAAACAGTACGTCGCCATGAACGTCATCAGTGTCAGATGAAGGGATCGCATAATGAGTACAAGGCTCGAGTCTTATAGAAGGGTTTCTGATACGCAGCACATCGATCGATAGGTTCCGTAGCGTTTTGGAAAGTGCTGTCTGTTGACCGATCTCTAACCAATTACGCACGTTGAGGAACATTAGTCTTAGCAAAGATTACTGATTTCATATAAGAGTGGATACCTGAGGTTGTCCGCGGGTTGAAAATGCATCTATTGACCGGCACAAAACGGCGCTCTGGGGTTGCGAGTCGAAACTGAAGGTAGACGCCTGTCAAAGCTAGATGACGGTGGTCAAGAATCGGGAAGTTAAAAGAGGTAGAAATACCAGCGGATTTGAAACAGGATCGTATGGATGAAGAACTTAGGGCACCAGCAGTACCCTGGAACACCATATGGACGCATTGCTGCCACGCAAAGAGCACTACTGGCGCGTGGGTTGGGTATACCGAGTGGTCGACCGCATTTATGCGGATTCGAGCCGGTGACCTCCAAAATAGAAGGCAAACACACAGCCCTTCCGAGCACCGCCCGGCTTAAAAATGGAAATAAGAAGACGAGAAGACCAGAGCAGTAGCGCATCCATCCATACCAACTCTGCTCGATGTGGCAAGTAGGGTGCCGTTGATTATTCGCTGAGACGCCCAGACTTCGCAGTTAAGGCAGTTGGTTCAAATCCTAACCACAAGGCAGTGGGAGCTTAGTAAGAGGCTAGAAGGAGACTGTTCTAAGGAAAAATGAACTACCCTGACCCCGAACCCCATCGTAGACACCAAGAGATTCTGTTTGTCTGCCCTCTAACCAATGATCAATATGATCTGAGTGGCTCAGAAGTCGCAAAGGCAAACCCCAAAATGGCTCAATGAATAGTTGAAGTATGAAAATAATCGCTGACAACAAATATGGTCATTTTGGGTCCGGGTAATCGTGAAGTTCGGTGGCCGCCAGCTGACTCTAGGTGGAAGTTTGTGATAGTGGAAAGCCGCCACGTGTCTGTCCTTGTGCTGTAACCATGTAACTCACTGTTACATCAACTAGAATTCATTTCTATTTCCAAGATGACGAGTTTCTTTTCAATACTTTAGACAATGGCTGGTTTCCAATCCAACTATATTTATTACCTTTCGTCTTGTTAGGGCTCCCGGGAGCGTGATTCATCCGACGTTATGATGAAGTACTTCTCACTCGGATAAGTTGCACTTTCGAAGAAAATAGCCGGTTGATTTCTGGGAGTAATTCGGAAAAAATTTCTCTCCACTGATGAACCTGTGCCTAAAGACCGGACTAGATTCACTGGGCGTATCACGCGTTCCTGAGAAAATTTATTATTTGCTTTCGTCTCAGTAGACTGACGACAGTGGAATAGATGCAGAAACCAGTGTCTTCGAGCGTGCACGGTCCCCCTAGTGCAAGCGCCATTCGCCCAAAAGCATCGATGGCTGTTGTCATGAGCTTGATCGAACCATTGTTAGGGTTCTCCAGTGATACTTCGATGAAATCCAAATCCCAGCGTAGTGAAAGCATTGAATACTTAGGCCTGCTTACACAGGAAGCAAATGTTCCTATCTGGTCAATTACTTCCTAATACCATAAAGATTATCACCGCAGCATTCGTGGAATGTTTAGATGGATGCAACTTCATTTTGCTTGGATAACATGGCGTGCGCCTAGACAGACCATGCACATAGAAGCCGGACTCAATCTGTCAATGCCAGTATACTTGTTGACACGGCCTACCTGGTCTTCTGGAAGGTTTCTGATCGTGTGGATTATCACGTCCTTTACAAGCTTCCTTAGCTGTGGGAAAGTTCATCCCATCCTGAGTTACGTGCTTCACTTTCTCCTTCAACGTCATCTGAATGTGAGGATCCAATGGCTTTATCTGCTCCAACAAAAGTCCACTGTTTGTCCCTCATGGTTTAACACTTCGGTCACTCCTATTGCTTCTTTTCGAAGCGATTTCATAGTCGACCACCACAAACTTTCTATCCAACTGAAACTCGTAAGATATGTCCGGTTTATCGACGGTTGACTCCGAATATGCTGCTGTTTAACACGGCCGAATAAAATTTGTCCAACATGGGTCATCAGAGCACTTAGACTTATCAACTTTGAGAGCAGCTTTTTCAGATCGTTTCTCATGAAACCACCTGTTTGTTTTCACAAAATGGGCTTGGTTGCTCAGCACATCCCAATGCAGAGCCAGTAAACTACTAGTCTTCCTGAAGAGGGGCATTCGGTCTGTTCGACTTTGCCATTCTCTCACAAGTACTCAACTCTTATTAGAGGCCCCAAGTGAAATACGCTTCATTCTCTCTCGAAGGTGCCAATGGTGAAACACTTCTCTAGCCGTCGTTTTCCTTATTTGTAGACATATTGCTCTGCCAACATTACATTGTTTAGACTGAGGTTGTTGAATCAAAACATTACGTAATCAGTGTACACATATAAACCCTACAGTGAACAACCTATACGGACTATTCTTCTGACCCCCACTTATTTTGCTGGTCTCACATATGGGACTTCGTGAACCAATTTTCTACCCATGCTGATGCATCGCTTTCTTCTTCCATCACATGAGATTTCGCATTTGAGTTGTTGAGTGTTTTTTGAAAAAGGTGATTGCTAGACCCCATACATAGCGGAGCAACTTTGTAGCACTGGTTGAAAGGCTAGGAGAGTGGATAAAATATCTATTATTTCGGGTATGGTACTGTTCTGTTTATGGTCTGTTTGTGAAACAGTGTGTTAATCGGCGCGTGCAATATGTATCATCTGGTGACATGTAGTGGTTCTCCGGGGTGTACGAAGCAACTCAACATTTGTTGACCTTGATGTGTTTGTATGGTTACCAAGTACCGCCCCGTGTGTCGGTGGTGCACCGTGCCAACTCATCCAGGGCTATCCTGATTTCAGAGCACTTGAATGAAAACGTCACTGTATTACATACTGAATACATCTGAAAGTATTGTGTCCACAATTACTCAAGTTGTTCGTTTGGACGACCCAGAAGCCACGGGAATAGCCATCCGGAGAGCAGTCCTGTGGCCTGCACGCATGGTGCCTTGTTCCTTGACACTGGTCCACTTCAACACCGTTTCCTTTAAAGCGAATAGCTGGGGGAGGAGAACATGGTAACCAGGTAAGTAGAGTTGCATAATTTTTCCAAAACTTCCAATCATCCTGCTAGACGATAACCAACTCAGAGTCTCATCACCTAGCCTCGTGTCTTTACAATTTGAAGCAATGTTTTATGACGGCTACGATGAGTAGTTAACTTCAAAACTGCATGTCACTCTTGGCCAAATTTTACGTAGGTTTCCACCAGGTAACCTGCGGTCCGAGCGTATCTGGTCAAGAACAAGTGTTAAGGTTCACATTTACGGATGAAGGATCAGTGAACACCTTTGGAAGGAGCAATAAAACGTAATTAGATTGTGTGTTAATCATTGTGGTGAGTACGTATTGTTTAACTGAGTTCATACTGCTGAGCTTGTAGTGTTTTTCGTGACAGTCGTCTATGTCTATCTTTCCTTTCATTTGGCCGCTCTGAAATCCATTGATAATATTTAGGTCTACCTGTCGTATCTGTCTACGCCGTCATCAGCACTCTTTCGATGCACAGCAAGATTTACACTCCCGTCCGTGATCAGAATCTGCTGGCTTTTTGGCAGCTCTGGCAGCATTTCTTTCCTCACTAACATGACCACTTGGAGTCGCTGTATTGACTTTTCCACGTTTAAATCAGCCGTTGCCTTTTTCGCCGAACATCATCTTTACATTGTCTACTGTATATACTTCAGTACTGCAACAGTACACCGACAGGTACTTTGTTAAATCAACTTCCAAGGTCACTGCGACCCTTTACTATACAACATTGAATATGCACAAAATATATCGCGTACGATCCCCGATATATTGTTGCTGGACACAAAATGCTAAGTCAATTGAAACGAATCCTGAAGGAACATTTTTAGGAAACCTTTTCCCTTTTCAATGGATACAAAGGCCGAGGAGTTAGTCCAACTTGTTGGGATTGTTGCTTGATTGATCTATGACAGTGCATCCTCATTTTTATATCCATTTATAAACTTTGCATTTTACTCGTAACCCACTTGTGAATTTACAGTTGCTAATGTGAAATGCTGGAAATGCATCCTTTTGGGTACATAAAGCTTATATTGATTTGACCTGACTTGACTGGGGTTAGGCAGTTATCCCGGTTTACTGTATCTACCAAACTCACTCCGCTACATGATCAGTGCGTTTGTATGAAAATCGGTGAGGGTAGGTCTTTAACTCCGCACTGACAGCTAGATTTCAGATGAAGCATTTTACCCGAATGTATTTGTCCTAAACGCTTTCACAGTCGATTTCCTGGTAGAGAACTAGAATGTTATTTCCTAGTCTACGAAGACATTCTTCTCTGTTGCCTCATACACGTGAAAAACAACCAACTTGTTATCAAACAAATCCCCACAGTGGCTGCTCCCTGGGTTCAAACGCATTTCGCTGATCAAATGATAACTCACTTGAAGCAACAGGTCCGTCAGTTCCGTTTGGTTTTCAAAATGAATTCGAACCACCACTGGCTCGATCCACGCATTGTCTGTATTGATCATGTCATTGAGGTATCCGTGGAATATCTGAAGTTAACGAACAGAACACAACGGTGGTGGTTATCATGTCATTGTTTGCAATCTTCATCGATATCTTGTTTATATTGTAGGACTGCGTTCCCACTCAGATTGGTAATGTTGACCCAGTAAGTCCGACGCATGGTAAGTCGTGTAGTCATTATGCCAAGCCCCAATGCTACCGATTGAAACGGTAGCTGCTCTTGTGGGTTCGATTAACAATGAACAATGAATTTATACGGGTTAAGAAGCGTTGATTTACGAGTCCCGCTGGATGGTTCGTGGGGATATCGACATAACCATAATGATAATAATAATAGTAAAACAGTTAGTACTTTACATATGAAGATAAAGACTTTTCGTTTGCTCCGCCGTAGTCATGCAATCCACTTAGATTCACAGCACCCGCAGTCTACACCAAATAATTCCATGGTAAACTGCAGGTCTAGGATGGAGACGTAATGCTAAGTGACAAAGTCTAAGTGGATGAGGGCATCATTCAACCGTCTTTTAAATACTGTTACTGTCTGTGCAGAGACGACAGATTCTGGGAGAGTATTCCACGGGCGACAGACACGAATTGGAAAAGAAATTTCTGCGGCATTCCAGGCGGCTATATTCTACAGTGAATTTCAATGAGTGGACGCTCATGTTTGGATTGCTGCTGAGTTGCGGCAAAGAGCGGCACACATCACGTGGATCTCGCAGAATCAAGTATGTCATAATGGAGTCGCCTGGCAGTCTGCGATAGCTTCCACCGAATATCCCCAATCGTTGTGGCCTATCCTGATGCGAAAAATTTCGCATTCCAACTACGTTCTTAGATGCCCGGCGTTGTGGCTGCTGCAGTGCAGGAAGGTCGAGTTTCAGCCATGAATGCCAGGCTTGAATTACATATTCGACATGGGAGCGAACACACGCACTGAGTATTTGTCGAAATATGAAGCTATTTATTTGTCCAAACACCGGTCGCAACAGCCCAACGTGTTGGTTTCCAGTCTTTGAGGCCTTTTCGTATTGACTGGAGCAACCCAAGTCATCCTGAATCAGGACACAAGGGTTGATGTGATCTCTGTTGTGCAGGCTTACAAAAGCCCAGTGAATTCTCGTCTAAATCACCGCAGCCGCACGGGACGGGCGGGCAAGGCATACTTGGTTCGACCTAGCGCGTACGAAGTGCAGTTTACTTACAACCACTGGTAGGCGGATTGGCCCGAACGGCTATAACCAAAGACTATGAATACGCCAACGGACCCTAACTTACGCTACGTGGTGTAGCGACGGGGATAATTCAGTCCACCCATGACGAGTGAACGGAACTCGAATTAGCTATCGTCCACGCGAACTAACCGTAACAGGATGGACCAGCTGGACAGTGGAGAATTGGCATGGGCCATAGACGCGACTCAGCAGATGAACAGTGCACGCAAGCCAATGAGCATGGACGGATAACACAAGATGTGACATTGAGCAATGTCCAATGAAAGTGCATCAAAATTGGATGTTGTTTTGTATATTTGTGTAAGACAAATGATTTATATCTAATGCCTAAAGAGTTGTAATCGGTTTCCAGACTTTGTCTTAACTATTGGAAGACTAGACAACATGTATCAGCCAAGACTGGGGCGCACAACACAAATGTTGCTGCGTGGATCACAGATATGATTACTTCGCACTAGAAATACTCAGAAACTGGTTGCTTTGCATGTTTTATCATGTATGCAGCGGAAACCGAAGGATGTCTATGGATAATCAACCAGGGTACGAACAATGCGTAACACAGGGTTTACCCATCGCTCAGTCCGGCCTTTCACGCAGCCAGTGTAGAGTTTGCATATTGTAACTAGCAAGTAAAAATTGCATATAGTATTTTGGCGGGAGTAGCTATGACTCTCATTAGTGACCCAAAGCTCTATGTCCCTTAACGAGGTAGCTCGGAGTGGAGAGGAAGCAGCCGAGATGTAAAAACGCTTCGTTGTTAAGGTGTGCTACATGCGGAAACCCACATCTGGGACCGTCTTCTCTAGGAGGGCGTCTGGCTACTTCTATCACTGGGTATGGGGCTGTAGTTGCACGGCCTGGGCGGCGTTACGTGGCGACCGCTGGTAATGGGTGATGGTTGCACTAGGCAGCTAAGGTCCAGGCCAACCTCCCACAGGAACGACTCACCTGTGGGAGTATAAAACGGGTTCACCAACAATCATGAAACTAAATCTAATCGTGCAATATACGAGCAGGACTTCTGACGCTGTTCAATCCCCCAGTTCGAATCCGGGTGGGGACAGAGATTGTGATGGAGACAGAGCTACGATTGGTCCAGTTCCAAGTACGAGTAATACATTTGCGTGCCGTTGGACAGAAGCATACTAATCACCGAGGCTTGTCACAGCACAATCGCCATAGGCTTCCTGACGAGCTTAATGCGGAATGCCTGGAAGTATTTCCGTTAAGGAAAGGGGAGTGAAGCGAACGAGAGTGCACTCAGTTAGTGCGTTGCGCTGACAGGTTTTGGACCACTGGTGTCCAGAAACAGAATGTGTACGATAAGCTGACTTCAGTTTTTCCGGGATGGCCAGCTTGGGGATGAGGATGCATTTAGGGTAAATGCGCTGGCGACTTGAACCATACAAGAAGTGGGAGATGGGTGGTACCAAAAGAAGTGCTACTGATAGTTTTCCACTCGAGGTGGGGGGCTTATGGATGGTGGCCAGTGGAACCAACGTCCGAACGCCTTTAGGATCTTCTCTAGCCTCGGAAACGCTTGGTCGTGTGATCAACTTGTGCGGTTTCCCCTCTGGTGTGGGACCCATCGAACCCATAAGCTTCCCGACATTGAGGGACCCTGTTACCTGACCTGGAAGCGCTGGTTGACCTGATGATTCCGGCCTCACCGGTTAGGGCAGAGCGGGTTGGCGTAGAACAGGTGTGAAGGGTACAAATGCTCGACACTATAGTTAGTGAGCTGTCTGTACATCGAGATGAGAGGCTGCAATCACAGCTGCTGCTAGATCTTGCTCTGAACATTCGGGGAGGACGGCTGGCCAACGCCGAGACTTAGGTTAAGTTCTAGATCCACATGAAGTAGTGCTTCCCATCTTAATAGGTCAAGCTTAAGATGGCGGAGGTTTCCACTGCCGTCGACCAGCGTAAGATCAGGAATTTCACGTACTGCAAAGTGCATTCTATCTCGCGGAAGGTTGTATACTAGATGGGACTAAGAAGAACATCAACATGATGTCGTACAATCTATGCGACAATGGCCAGGAGTACTGGCGGGCCATTTTCTCGTATCCAGGTCAAGTGCGCAAAGACCGTCCCCGGACGCGGTAGAGAATTACGACTTACTCGCCCAAGTCATCGTAGCGGAAATCCAAGCAGAGCTCAAGAACTCCACCACAATAGCCCAGGATCGGATGCAGTGACCAACACAGAACTAGGACGGATGAACACCAGAGTGCTGACGCAGGTTGATGCTACAGCTGCCCACTAAGGCCGGTTCATTAGCGCGAATATCTCTAAAAACCAGGGCAGTCAGACCGGAACGCCAAAAGGAATAGCAACCGCTAGCTATCACTTCAGTAGTACTAAGGACGTTCCATAAGATCTTGGCACCTCGATGGAGGCTGGCATTTAAGCTAACGTCGCTTCAAGTGGCGTTTCAGTAGCAGGATGAGTGCTTTGCGGCCAACTATGCTTTACACTGTCTGTTACCTCAGGCTCAGATGCGCAGTTCGGTTGCAGCGCTTACTTTCTTAGAGGTGGCCAAAGCCTTTGATACTACTTCCTATGACTCGATGATTCGGGCGGCGCAGAGTCAGGGGGCTGTATGGTCTCTCTTTCCATACCTAGACCAACTGTACACACAATCCGAAGTGCTGCTGGAAGGCGAGCAAATCAGCTGCGGTATAAAAGTGAGTTAAGGTATCCCTTGTCTCTTCTGGTTTTCATTATGGCCATGGATGTGGTCCTTTGGGCATCGAGAGAAGGGCTCAAGACATCTACTGCGGCTGGCAATCCAAAACGAGCGTTAGTCTATGCGGACGACATGGTGTAATTAGCGGACTCTCCCACACAAATTCAGGAAAAGTTGAAAGTCTTAAGTCTAAGACTAGGTGAGATCGGCATGGCATAGAACATCGCGAAATGTAGATCTATGACCATCAGAACGTTAGAGAAAAGATATTTTGATTAAACAGCTGCAGGAGACACTACTTCACGAAGTTCTTGGTCACCTTAGCAAAACCAGGTAGTAAAACAAATTAGGCCGAAGTTGTCTACAACCTATATATATATATATATATATATATATATATATATATATATATATATATATATATATATATATATATATATATATATATATATATATATATATATATATATATATATATATATATATATATATATATATATATATATATATATATATATATATATATATATATATATATTGGCCGCATCCGGTTTCGGATTTGCGTACCGCTGTGGCCAGCCACAGGACGCCTGCGCCTACAGAGGGACCATGGGTGGCTTGCAATGCACCACCCACAGTTCCAACCACACACCTCATATCCAGTGTAAACCCGAAGGACTAAGACCGGAATGCATGTGGATGGGAGCCAAGTTTCACTAGCAGAGCCGGCCCATACTCCTTCACAGGTAAACACAAACACGCTAGATTCGGGGAATCAATCTCACACAAGGTGGTGCCTGAACCGTAGTGCACTTCAGACTGGGTGCATGGAACCACTGTTCCAGCCTAGCATGACCCAAAGGACGGTACACCCCGTGCCGACCATCAACGACGAACTGTCTCCTGGAGCCAGTATGAACCAGGTAGTGGGTAATAGACAGGTAGACATCTTGTCAACATGCACAACCAGCGAAGTCACACTGGGGATATCAAGCAACAGCCAAGCACTTGAAATAACATTATCAAAAAGTAAATATGTTAAAGCATAAGACTACGTAGACGTAACTCATCGCTAAATTAATATATGAATCAAATG